TCTGGACATTTATGGTTTGATTTCTTTGTATGTATGGATCACTTGGGTTGTTACCGACATCTGGTGAAAATTTCATGTCATTAGCACTTCTGGTAATATATTTACTGAGAAAAATGGTGACGTGTTCAATACTTATTTTACCCGCTGTATGTATGTATATATATATCACAGACTTTCTTACCAGGGTACATGTTCTGCTGGAGTGTGACATAATTTGTGTTATTTGCAGCTGTGATGGATTGTGTACAAACTAATACAGGATCAGAATAATATATACGGTATTTATACTTCTCATCCAGCCACAATTAAATTCACTCTATCCAGGAGGATAATATTTTTTAACAACAAGCTGTAATGAAATAGGAATAACGACTTTCTACTTCTTAACTTTTTAAAAAGATGTAATAAGTAGAAAGTACAGATAATTGTGTGAAAATGTAAGAAGTAAAAGTAAAAAGTAGACTGAAAAATAGTTACTCAAGTAAAGGACAGATACCTAAAAATTCTACTTTAGTACAGAAACAAAGTATTTGAACTTAGTTACTTTATAACTCTGCTTGGTGGCGCACAATCCCACCGTGTGGTTCTGCTCTTTATGCACAGCTTTTAAATTAGTCTTCTTTTCCACACTGTAGGAAAAATATTCAGACATCTTCAAGTCAAATGTTTACATTTTAACTGTCATCTGTTTAATTCTGCTCAGGGTCAGGAGCTGCTGCAGGCAGACATGTTGCATCTCACAGGTGTTTAGATGAGTTTTATTCTAGATGATTTCAGCAGCTCAGTTTATTGTTGCTTTAACTCATGAAACAACTCATTTTTCCTGCTGTGTGTACTGTTAACCTTTGCTTTGTAAGAGTGTTATAATGTAGTGTTTGTTTGTTGTGTAGGGTGTTTGGTACCAGCATGGTGGAGGAGTATGAGGAGATCGCAGATTCCCAGTATCCCTCTGAGAGACTGGAATATCTGGATGAAGATTATGGTACGATGCTGCTCTGCTCTCTGAGAGAATTTAAGCTGCTTTGTTTTGTAAACATTACACGTGACTCAAATCTTAAACTACAAAAAGCAAGAGTCTAAATAAATGAATGTCCTGATGCGTCTCAGTAATCCAGGTAGAAAAAAATCAAAAAGAAAAAATCCGTGGGTCCTCTGGATGGTTCTTCTTTAGTGAAACGTTTCGTCTCTCCTCCAAGAGACTTCTTCAGTCTGA